AAGGAGAAATCACCCCTTAGGGGGATGGCCATACCACAATGCCTTCTCCTCCATTCTCCTCTTAGGATCTTGGGCACGCATGCACACGCACCTGCTGTGAGTATTAAGCCACTGAGTCCAGACTCCAATAATGGTCAACTATGTGGAAGTCCAGGGACGTAACCCTTCTGCCATCTGCTGGTCCCTCTCAGTGGATTTTTAAAGATCCCGCATACATGTAAGGAAGACAGATGTGGAATTCAGATTGTGTGGATTTGACTCTCAGATCTACCATTTACCAGCTTATAACTCTGAGAAATTCGCCAAGCATCTTCGGGCTTCAACTTTTAAATCTGCACACCTATTGCATAAGGTTGCTTTAGGAATTTATAATAAAGAGAACAACAAATTCATATAGCACTTAACTGTGTCAGACGCTGTAAGCACTTTTAATTTATATCTATTTATTCATTGAATCCTCTCCAAAATCTTATTGGATTAAAACTAATGTCCCAATTGACAGATGAGGAAACTGAGGCTCGGAGAAATTAGTACCTTACCCAAGGACAAATAACTAGAAAGTGGCAACAAAAATATTCATGTTCCTGGGACTGGACAGTGGCTTGCAGTATCACAATGCTTTGCAAGGCTGGTCAACACAGAAGGTTTCAGGTTCTCGTCCAGAGACCTCCCTGAATATGCTGAGTGCAAGCGTAGCACGATCAGCTGGTGGGAGCTGAGGATGCATAGCAGCATGAGGACCCCACTGTGGGTGCCTGTCTCTCCATCTCAAAAAAAAAAAAAAAAAAAGAAAAAAATCATGTTCCTAATCATTTCATCATCCTTGAGATAATGTGTTGAAGCAGAGTACAGGGCTTGGCCTACATTGCATGTTCAATAACTCCCATTTATTAATAAATATTTGTCAAATATCTGCAAGACTGAAGTTACAGCAGGGCTAGGGCTAGGTAGGAAGGAAGCTGTGATCGACTGGTGACTGCCGTGAAGGTGGGTATGTTAGTCATCACACCTGTGCCTGGCTTTGCCATCCCTCCTCCACATAGAACAATCCTAATGTCTGGTTGTCTGAAGTTTTCCCTTCTCCATCTCGTGTCCCTGGGATCTTAGGGAGGGCTGCCCTCATCCCAGCCAGGTTATCACCAAGGTCTTCTCCTGCCTTCTGCTCATCCACTCCCCATCAGATTGCCACAGTGCCGTACTGAAAAGATCTTTCCATCCCTTACTTACTTCCATCAAGGAACCTACAACTGGCTACTGCATCAAATCAAAATTACCCCCTGGTTTTTAAGGGCCTATTAAGACTCTGGGAGAACATGGCTTTTTAACTCTTGTTCAAGTGTCCAAGTGCCTCTTTATCACATAAACACCTGATATAAATGGTCACATTTCATTATGAGGAGAACAGCAGTGTTTGCGTTACCTCAGACGGTGATAAGCAATCATTTATTTTATGTATTTATATTTGGAAACAACCCAATAGAAAAAAATTGACATACTTAAGGTCTAATTTATTTTTATTCAGAATAAAACAGGCTTGATCAGAGAAAGACATGAAGAGAAGAGTGTCAAAGAAAATTTGCATTATTATTACACACTACAATGTGAATATCCAGGTAAATTTCAGATAGCTTTTTTAATCTTTCATCCTAAAATTAGATTCTGAATCACAGGAAAAACCTCTAGTGACTGGAGCTGAAAAGTCAGAAATCAAGCAAAATAAAAAGATGCAAATCTCTTAATACTCAAGAGAGACAACATATCCATTTCCAGAAGGATACCTTGAAAGGTTAACTAGAGCAAACCAAAACATATGAATTACTGATGCTTATTATTAAGGGGTTGCCTATACTCAACGCAATGAAGCCTGAGTTAATATCTCTAAACTAAGTACATCGACAGACAAAAATAACACGGGTTTAATTTAAAATTTAGAAAGAGAATTAAACACCGTGTGCTTCGAAGACTTAGCAACCTGCCAAATGTTTCATTGGTCTCTCCACTATGCCAGAAAAGGTGTGGGATTGTACCAGAAGCTCATCTGATTTGCTTAGAAATGCAAATAATTTCTGACAAAAGTCACATCCAGATGAAGCCACATCTGACGTAGCCACATCCAGATCATTCCTGAGTTGAACATTCGGATGTCAACTCAGGATTTCTGAATGTACACTCACAGATGCAGCTGGGCAGTTCGTTGTTCAAAGAGCTGGGGTAAACAAGTCGACAGGTACCAACACAGTGGTTATTGTTTGGTTTTGTTTGGATTCAGAGGGATTATTGTACCTGCAGTGGAAAGTTGGTCTTCTTAGTTGAATATATCAACTGAACTTCAGTTAGATGAAATGTTTGGTAATTTGTATAAAGTTATGACTGAAAGAATCAATATAAGAAAAGGTGATGTTGTTAGAGCTGGAAGACAAAGACGTTCTGGAATTTGTAATTCAGGAAACAAGTACTTATTGAACAGCTGTAAGTCATGAGCCATCAGGGATGGACAGCTGGCTCTAATATTTACAGGGATAACTATAAGTCACTTCTTATAGCTTTGATAGATGCTACCTATACATCTTTCACAGGGTCAAGACAAAAATGCTAATATTAGAATAATAAATCCAGTGGATTCATTAAAATATTGCTAATCGGTAAAAGAATCAACTAAGAAAGCACCTCTCACAAGTTTTAGTAAGAATTATCAGGCTTGGGCCAGGAGATAGCGTGTTGGTTAAGGTACTGGATTCCCACATGGCCAACTGTGGTTCGAGTCCCGAACCTGGTGGCTTGCTTTCTCATGAAAACTGAGTTATGTCCTACATGCTCAAAATGAGAAGAGGTAACTGTTATTAATATTTTTAATAATTTTATTTATTTATTATTATTATTTCTACAGGGCAGGTGTGCTCACCAGAGACAGAGACAGAGAGAGAGAGAGAGAGAGAGAAAGTGAGAAGGCAAGCTGCCAGGTTCGGGATTCAAACCATGGTCAGCCATGTGGGAGTCCAGCACCCCAAGCACCATGCCACCCAAATGCCCTAATAATTCTAAAACTATTCTTACTGGTTTTTCCCAGGAATGAACCCCAAAGACACTCTTCCCTCCAAGAGCAAATCTCTCTGCTATGGACAGTCTTAAGACGGGCCCTCTCATTACCTTCTCTGAGCCACCCACAGGCAATCAGAATCCTCTAAAATGGGCAAAAGTAGGCCAAAGGTTGCGCTGAAGACCAACAATATTAAACAAGTTCTTCATAAAATTCCCAGACCCTGCTGATACATAACCTGCAGCCAGAGCTTTCAAAAGCACATTCCCAAATGACAAACAATTCACACACAGCAAGCTGTGTGCTTAAACGGAAAACAAGTAGCCAGTTCATTTGCCATGTACTGGATTAGTTATGGCAATTGTAATACTTTCTCTATTCCTTACTACATATTTTTTTCTATAAAGGACATTCTCTCCTCTAATTTAGAAAAAAAAGAAATATGTAATAATTTAAAATAAAATGAGTTGGAAACCAGATAAATATGAAACACCTGTGGCAGTGGCTTATTCCTAATAGGGACATCATAAATAAATAATAACAGCATTTCAGGCTTTTGTATGAAGATGATCTAATGAAACAAATGGTCAACAAGGAACTCACTGCTCAAAGACAAACTTGTATTAAAAATAAACAGATTTGGGGGACCAGCAGGTAGCATGGTGGTTAAGGCACTGGACACTCCCACATGGCTGAACACAGTTCGAGTCCTGAACCTGGTGACTTGCTTTCTCACTTCCCCTCTCTCTGTCAAATTAAAAATAAATGAATGAATAAATAAAATTTAATAAATAATTATTTAAAAAGTAAACAGATTTTTATAGCCTAGCTAGGAATTGCCAAGTATTATTAAATCCAGTCTCAGAGTACATTATTGAAGTTCAATTTAGCGTCCACACTGACAACATAAAATTGACAATTGAAACTAGGTCTGGAAAAGCAAAGCAAAACAAAACACTCACTTACTCTCTGCTACCACCGCCCTCAAAAACTGAACCGGGAAATGAAACATTCAGGTGTAACTTATCAGATGGGACAAATCTGCATGATTGACCTTGACAAGACCTTGGAGCAGCAGCATCCTAGTGATGTCTCCATTTCTGAACCGCCTTCAGTTCCAGGGTTTGTGTTTATTCGTGATTAGCAGGAGGTTTGCAGAGCAGTGTGCTCCCGTGGGCTTACTCTGAAAGATGTGATTTCCAGAAAAGCAAGCCACCCCACCCCCACCCCCACCGCCGGATCTTTTTCATTTTCTAGATAAGGTTCTGTTTCCTGAACTACTTACTTCTTGTAAATTTTCTTTCCATCTTTAGTAGTGATGGCACCCGAAGGGTTTCACTACCAACGTATGGGTTGTTTTGGAGAGTTCCAGAAAACTATGCGTTAGTGGCATTCTGGTGTTTTCGGTGAAGGCGTACATTATTCAGGGGAGGAGAAAATGTCTTAAAAGTGGATCCTAAACGGCAGGAGGGTAAAATGACCTAAAACAGGCGTGCCACTGGCTCCGCAGGGAGGAGAGGCTGTTTTGCTAACCCTCGCCCCACCCTCCACACCACGCGCAGCCAAAGCCAGTTTGGTGGTTTCTGAATATCCACAGCGTTTCTCCAAGGCTGTGTCCTAAGTCTGAATCAGAACCCCACGTGCACCGCAGATAAGGCACGGCCAGGGCCCCGCCCTGCCTCCGGGGGCCCGGCCTTCCTGCCTTCTCCATCAAGGTGACACTGAGCCCTAGAGGCCGGCTGCAGGGCGCACGGAGGCCGCGCAGGCGGATGCGGCGGAGCGCAGGGCTGGCGGGGAGGAAGCGAGCAGTCAGCACACACATTTTCATTTTCTTCCCCGGAGCCAGTCCGAGACCCGACGCCGCCAGCGGAAGAGAGGGCGGCGCGCGCCGGGTCCCCGGGCACACGCACTCGGCGTGCACTCTGGCCCGTGCGCGATCACACGTGCGCGCGCGAATACTCACCAGCACCCCTGATACCCGGAGCCCGCGTGGGACGGCGACTGCGGCGGCGGCGGCTGTCCCCGCGCCTGCCGCGTGGCCTTGGCATTCGTCTGAGCGCTGCAGCCCAGGCCGCGGTAGCTTTTGCTGGAAAGCGCTGCAGCGAGGTGACCCGAGCACCTGGCTTCGGCCGCGCTGCCTCCCCCTGGTCTTCCGCGCGCGGATGGAGCTTTGCTGGTCCACTCACCCCGGCCGCGTGCGTTGCTGTCCTCTTCCTCCTCTTTCCTGCGAGATACCCCAGTGACACCCGCGACCCGCGGCTCTGTCACACTACCCGCAGACCGGCCGCCCCCGAGCCTGCAGCAACCGTGTCTGCCGCCGCCGCTGCTGCAGGAAGAGAAATTGTCACTGCGATGGTCCGGGCCGCCCCTGCCCGGGCCCTGGGTGCCGCCTCCGCCTCTGCCTCCGCCCCCTCCTCGCCGCCGCGGCCTCGCTCGTTCTGCAGAAAAAGCTCACAGAGGGAAGCAGCGCACGGCCTAGAGCGAGAGTAAAACGGTTGGGTGCGACTTTCCCATCTGAAACCATGCATGTCTTCTCCCCAGTCCGGAACCACCTGGGTTCCCGCCCCACCCCCTTCTTACTCCACGTCAGTTTCACCGACATCTACTAAAGCAGTCCTTAAAAACTACAGCGTATCCAAACCTCAGGCAGCTTGGAGCTGGCCATGAAGCTGACTCTGGGGAGAGTCTGGGTGAAAATCCCACTGAGGTCTCTCTTAGGAATTTCATTCTGAGGTTTATCTGTAACTACGCCCGCCATGAAACTCCTTAGGTCTCCCTCTCTCCGCCTTCGTGTGCTTGAGGAACAAACTATTACAGGATTCTCTGGATGGCCTTAAGTTATTGTCAATTCGGAGTTTTCCCTGTGGTCCCAGCACCGTGCCAGACGGTCCATTCGTATGACCTTATTTCATCTCTACAGCCTTGTCCTAGAAGGGATTCTTATTTTCTCCATGACTGAGACTGGCCCGGGTTACCCACCTAGAAAAGCAGAAGTTAGGATTTGAACTCTTGATTTGACACCAAAAACTGGATCTATTATCTGGGCACATTGTATTCCTATTAGCTGAGCACATCGTATTAATTTATAAACACTTTTGCCACACTGCTGCTGCAGATGAAATACAGGCACTTTTCTTAAATTTGAAGGTGGCATCTGAGTGAGAGAAGTGAGTACGGAGTGTCCAGGTGAGACAGGCTTTTCGTAGGTGGCTTTTCCTCTGGAGTCTGGTGGTTAATTTCCTCCCTGGGAGGAACTTGTCTGTATGCTACAAAAGTTATAAAATGTGCACTCCCCCCCCCATGCACCTACACCCAGTAATTTTACTTTTAAGAAGCAATTTATTCTAAGGAAATCTAAAATGAGGATCATGATTTTCATCATTTAGAGATTATCACCAACTTTAGACATTAAAATTGTATTTATGGGGGCCAGCAGAAGTCATGGTGGTTAAAGACACTGGACTACCACATGGCGGACCCTGGTTCAAGTCCCAGACCTGGTGTCTTGCTTTCTTGCTTTCTCACTTTCTCTCTGTCTCTGTCTCTCTCATAACGCAGATGCCCTATAGCAAGTTTAAAAAATAATAATAAATAAAATTATATAAATAATTATTTCTGAAAAATTGTGCTTATGATGAAATTTTAATGACATTGAAACTGCCTACAATATAATGCTAAACAAACCAGGATACAAAATTGCAAATAAATATAATCCCACGTAGGTAAAAACGCAGGAAAACTCTAGGAGAATCTATTTGAATTACCTGATCAGTTAGGGAAATTACAATACTTTCTACATTTTTTTTCTACAAAGGGCATGTTCTTCTTAAATTGAGGGTAAAGCATTATGTAATAACTAATAATAAAACTAGCCACCAGTGGGCCAGCAGATGGCATAGAGGGTAAGATGGCGGGATCCCACATGGCCAACTACGCAGTTCAAGTGTCAGACCTGGCAACTGAAAAACCACACTGGGTATGTCTGAGTACATGCCTCAAATCCCAACAGGTGGATGGAGGAGAAGGGATTGCTGTGTTCTCAGCACTCTTGCGGGGTGCTTTCTCACTTTCCCTCTGTCACCTTATCTCCAGTGAATACATGTGCACAATAACCCCTCCCCCAAAGAAAACAAATTGCAACCAGATAAATATGAAGTATCTGTCACAGTGCCTCGTTTATAAGAGTGACATTATACATATTTGAGGAAGGGATGAAGGCAGGAATCAAGAAGGGAAGAAGAAAGAGAAGGTATACTATTTCACATAGAAGAGTGATTGAGGAATTGTGACTTCCCTGTCACCTATCAGTGATGGCATACATAGAAGTAGGACGCTGCATTTAAAGTGCCTCATTAAGTAAGGCTGCATTTGAGTATTTCTCAACTGACGGCAGTGACCCGACATTAGCACTTTCCTCACTACATGAGTAATATGGTCCAGCATTCAGACCGTTTCCTGTTCTACAGCATCAGCGGTAGATCTATTCCAAGAAGCTGGACTACCCTCAAGGTGTTGGTATTTAAGCTAAAGAGATCCCTCTTGCCTCTGACTGGTCGTTGTGTGGAGGTCTGTCACTCTCTCTGGGGTATCCAAAGTCCAAGCCCTGGGAGTAGTTTTCAGTCTCCCTATCCTGTGTAGACATCCTGGGTGGATCTTATTTCTTGTAACTAGTGATACGAAGAGAAAGTACACAGGGCTGAATTTACATTAATCAGGAAGCCAAATCTATATTCCTCTGTCCTATAATTGTCTGATGTAGGCACATAAAGCTTGGCATTCTTACTGACACTACATCGTCTTTGTTCTTTGTTTTTCATTTTAAAATTTCTTGACTCTGGGTTATCTGTAACATCAATGTCTCCAAGGAAAGATAAGAATTAATTTTATTTACATTTTTTTTCTTTTTTTTAGATTTTTTGCTACAGAGACCACTCACTTGCCAGAGAGTGACCGAGAGAGACAGAAAGTAAGAAATCACCCTCTGGGCAGTGGTGGGAAGGATGCCCATGCTACAATCCCTTCTTCTCCATTCTCTTTTAGGGATTTTGGGCACACACGCACATGTGCCTGGCTTGTTTTTCAAGTCAGCAGGTCTGGGACTGGAACTGTGGCGTCAGCCTTGTGAATCCAGCACCTTAACCACCATGCCACCTGCTGGGCCCTGATGCTATTAGAGTAAATATTCGCACAAGCTTGGTGGTGAACCGATAACCATCTGCTCTGGGAAACTGGATCTATATGAAAGATCGTACTTTGTTTCCTTTGTGCAGCTGAACACACCAGGTAGTTCTGTGATCCTGGTTGGCTGGGAGGACTGGGGATTGGGGATTATGGAGTAGGACCCTGTTGAGGGTGCTCGTGTCTCTCTCATTCTCTTTCTCTCTCTCTCTCTCATACCCACCAACACATATACACAGGAAAGAGAGAGAAAGAGAAAATAGTAATTTCAAAGATTACTATGTACTACAAGTGTGCACCTTAAATTATACTCCTCAGATCAGCTAGTGCCAAAAGTCCAGATATGAGAAGGGATTGTGGTGTGGCCATCCGCCCTGGAGGGTGGTTTCTTGCTTTCTGTCTCTCTGGCAACCACACGCACCCTATAGCAAAAATCTATTTAAGAAACTAACAACAACAACAACAAAAACATGTGCAGACTTGCCAAAAATCTCCAGAGGAGAAATGGAGACAGGATTGTGATATGACCATCCCCAATGGGGGAGAGGTGCTTTCTCTCTCTCTTTCTCCCTCATTCTCTCTCTCTTTCTCTCTCCTCTCTCCAGTGAAAGCATGTGCCCTATAGCAATTTTTCTTTAAAATTTATATTCTGAAAAACTCATATTCTTAAAATTCTGGTTTTGCTATTCTTCATGTGGATGAAGTATGGCCCAGGGGTTCCTGAAGTCCTTTCAGATAGTCAGTGAGGTCAAATCTATTTTCACAAAAGCACAATTCCATTATTTGACGTTCGCACTCTCATTCTCTCGTGGGTTTGCTGAGGAGCGTTCCAGAGCTGCATGCACGGCATCACCACGGCTAGGACGAGGTACGGAGGAGCACTCAGTCTTCTGTTCAACCACACGTGCAAGAGAATTGTCAGACAGGAAATGATGTCAGCTTTCTCACTCATTTTGTTTTGGAAAATATAATTACATGGTAACTGAGACAGATAATTAACATGTCATTGATTTTAGGATTTTTTTTCATATTTAAATTATGATTCCTGCTATACAAATCATTGTAAATCTTTGTGGCATATAGTCCAGTTTTTCAAAGCATGAATATAGTGTGCAATAATCAATGTAGATGAGTTCATTGTCTTTAACACTGAGCGTTACATAATGTTTTTGACTTGTGCTAATAGTGCCGCTCATTTTGGGGAAAATGTAGGTTGAATTGTGGACTTGTTATCTGTAACAAATTACTAAAATATTTATAAATTTTCTCTTTTATTTTCTAACAGAGTAAAAATGGATAGCTAAAACCTACAACAACAAAAGAGCTCTGGAATCCATATAATATTTAAGATAGTTTTTAAAAGCATACATAGTTTTCAAAGACATAGTTTCCAAAAGCCCTGAGGTCATAAAGTTTTAAAACTGCTGGTCTACACAATTAAGGAACTAATGAGTTCCAAATAACCTTTTCTTTTCTTGAGAAATTAAATTATAATTATGGTAACTTAGTCTGTCATTAAAAGCCAGAAGCAAGTGCTTCAAAAATGGAGACAGCAAATACATTTGAGTTTTTCTGTTCTTGGGATTTATTTTCTGTTCTGTCTCTTTCTTGGTCATTTTCAGCTTGGACAATTGTTTATCCCTTATGTCCCTGTATCCAGTCCACTGGGTGAGGTTTGGCATTACCTAGAGCCTTGCCCTCTGCTTCTCTTTAAAATCTGTCCTGTTCCACATTGACCTGAGGGCTAATTTTTCCACTGGAAACATGAGAATAATGACTCCAGGCAGCTCTTTGGTGGTTACGAAGCTAATGCATACTAATGCAATCTGAAAGTCATAATGGGCTTTGTAGATAGAATGCTGTTACTATCAAACATTTCTGTAAACAGGCAGCCATTTGATAAAAAATAAAAATTCT